TGCAGCCTTGGCGGAGCAGCGGAGACCCCGGGAGCTTGGCCCTCCCACAGCCGCTGCCCCGCTCTCAGGCCTCCCCCAGGTCCCCCTGTGCTTCCTCTCAAGCTCACCCTGCCACATCCACCGCCCGGCCCCAGACACCCATCTGCCTCTCCACATCCAAGATCAGTCACCAGTCAGCTCCCTGTTCCCGGTGGCCGGCAGACTAAGGGGAGCTTGTCACTGGAGTTCTGGGGAGCATTTCGGGGAAGGTGCTCAGTCCTGGGAGGCTCTCGGCCCACGCTGATGGCCAGCCGTGCCCACCCCAGGGCCACACTGGTCACTGGCCCTGCCGTCCCCACAGTGTCAACAGCGTCTCCACCCTGGAGCCCGTGAGTGGCTGCCGGCGCCTGAGCGAGCTGTACCTGAGGAGGAACCGCATCCCCAGCCTGGACGAGCTCTTCTACCTGAAGGGCCTGCCGCACCTGCGGGTGCTGTGGCTGGCTGAGAACCCCTGCTGCGGCGCCAGCCCCCACCTCTACCGCATGACGGTGCTGCGTAACCTCCCGCACCTGCAGAAGCTGGACAACCAAGGTACTTCCATGGCGCGGCCTGGCCTGGCGATGGGCTGCCACGGGGCCCCCGGGCTTCCCTTGGGCTCCTTCTGCAGCCTTCCGCAACCCCTGGCTGGAGGCACAGGTGTGGCCCGTCACAGGGCACGCAGAGGAACAGCTCCCGGCCGGGTGACCCCGTTCCACAGTGCTGGCGTTGTCTGGCACTGGGACGTGGCCGTGTGGCCTGACTCAACGCAGGATTCCCACCTGTGACCCTCACGGTTTGCACACCACAGCAAGGACGGCCCGCTCCTCCTCCGTCCTTATAGGCTGGCCCCCGGCGCCTGCCGGCCAGAGCCACAAGAACACGCCCCCTAACAGTGGCCACCTGTTTTAGGTGGCTTAGCAAGGACGGGGCCCTGGGTGTCATCTCCAGAGTTACACATGAAAAACCTTTGGTTTTGTGTTGATTGGGGTTTTTGCTACCAGAGAAGCTGGAGCTGAGCTTCCCAGCACGGGGCTGTGCCTGGAGCCAGCGCGGGGGCTGGGCGGGAAGAATGGCCCGCCCCTTGCCCTGCAAGCCAACAGTGTGGAAGGTGTGGAAGGTTGCGGGAGGCAGCAGCAGGGGTGCAGCCTGAGCCCCTGCTTTCTGTCACCCACACAGCCGTGACGGAGGAGGAGCTGACCCGCGCACTGCTGGAGGGAGACGAGATCAGCACTGCCCCGGGCAGGGAGCCCATGGACACAGGCCTCTCTGAGTCCTCCTACCCGCTGAGCACCTTCGGCCACACCAAGACCACCACGGGTCAGAGCCTGCTGAGCTGCGAGCAGGCAGGGTGAGCCTGGAAGTGGCCACACCTGTCCCCAGAGCCAGCCTGACCCCAGGGCTCTCGGCAGTCAGGCAGGGCTTCCTCGCCGTATGGGAGGGGATGGAGCCCCAGTCATTCTCTGGATGACCCCAGACCCCTCCAGCAGGCCTCAGGGGCCAGGCAGGCTGCAGGAATACCTAAGTGTGCCTATGGGTGGGGATGGGATGTCAGCCTTGGCCGCTGTGGGGGCGTCCCAGGGGCCCGCAGCCAGTCATGAACGTGACTGACAGAAATGATGTCGGGAAGAACCGGTCCTGTAGAGGCCCCAGCACATCGCAGGAGCACTGGGGTGTGAGCTCCTGTGCTCTGCTTGGGGTGTGAGCTCCTGTGCTCTGCTTGGGGTGTGAGCCCCTGTGCAATGCTTGGGGTGTGAGCCCCTGTGCAATGCTTGGGGTGTGAGCCCCTGTGCAATGCTTGGGGTGTGAGCTCCTGTGCAATGCTTGGGGTGTGAGCTCCTGTGCTCTGCTTGGGGTGTGAGCTCCTGTGCTCTGGGGTGTGAGCTCCTGTGCTCTGCTTGGGGTGTGAGCCCCTGTGCAATGCTTGGGGTGTGAGCTCCTGTGCAATGCTTGGGGTGTGAGCTCCTGTGCTCTGCTTGGGGTGTGAGCCCCTGTGCAATGCTTGGGGTGTGAGCTCCTGTGCAATGCTTGGGGTGTGAGCTCCTGTGCAATGCTTGGGGTGTGAGCGCCTGTGCAATGCTTGGCATCCTTGCTGTGCTGAGGCCCTCAGGCCCCCGCCTTGAGAGCCTACCCGCCCCCCAAGTCCCCAGATGAGGACTCAACACTGGGTCTCAGTTGGGGTGCTGTGTCCAGATGCACCGGGGTGGCCTCCGTCCCCTGGCGTCGGCAGTGACACTGCTGTAGCGGCGTGACGTGCTCTCACTGGGCTCTGACCCACAGACACTGCCCGGCCCCTCACAGTCCCCCTCTCTCCAGGAGCACCCAGGGCCAGCTTGGCCTGAAGTCCCCTGCCCAGGACCAGTCTCCTTCCTTCCCACAGAGGGACGCCTTGCGTGGCCACAAGAACAGGGTGAGTGGCTGCAGCTGTACAGAATGGCAGTGGCCAGGGCCGGCATACCGGGCAGAGCCTGGTTTGTATCAGAGCGAACGGGAAGGAGAGGTGCTGGGGGCAGGGCCAGTGCCGGGGGCGGGGCCAGCACGGGGGCGGGGCCAGTGCTGGGGGCGGGGCCAGCCCGGGGAGGGGGGGGAGCCGCGGGCCGCCCCGTTGTACTCTCAGAACTCTGGGTAGTCGCTTCAAGTCACCAAGCGTGCTGGTTAGAGGTCATGAGGTCCTGGCTTGGCCATGGCGCGGGTACTGTTGGTGCCAGAGAGCCCGCGAGAGCTTAGGGCTCCCCACTAGGATTCCAGCCTCACAGGCAGCAGCCACAGTCCCCCGGCCTGGTGCCCTTCCAGCTGGGGCCCCGGGCCCGCCTGCTCTACGCAGCATTCGCAGGGGCCTGGGCTTCTTCCCTGGCCAGGTTGGGCTGCACTCCCCCAAGGTCCCATCCACCATGTCCCAGGCCCTGCCCTGCTGGGAACCCTGCTCCTCAGCAGAGCCCGGACCTGCCCTCGCACAGAGCCACGCAGGACCCACCCCAGCCATGGCCTTGTGGGAGGCAGAGCTGCCTCAGCAGGGCCTGGCCCCCGGGGGAGGCCTCGGCCCTCAGCCCTCCGGAGGACCCAGGAGCCATGCGCCAGGGCTCTTCCTCAGACTGCGAGGAGCGCAGGGCTGGCTGCTCAGACGGGCTCGCCCGCTGTGGCGCCAGGCCTTGGTGAACAGCTGGGCCGGTGCAGCCTGGGGCCTGGTCTGCTGGTGTGGGTGGGGACAAGGTGCCAGCCCCACCACAGCGCCTGGGCTCAGCGCCACCGCCCCTGACCAAGGGGCCAGTGACTCAGTTTCCCCCTGGGAAGCGAGGGCCCAGGCCGAGCACTGGGCAGGTCAAGACTAGATCTGTGCTGTGACCTCCCTCCCTGCGACCCCCTGGATCCCCGGCCCAGGCCCTAGGCAGGCTCTCTACCCCCAGAATGTCCTCACGGCCATCCTGCTGCTGCTGCGGGAGCTGGACATCGAGGGGCTGGAGACCGTCCAGCAGACCGCGGGCAGCCGGCTGGAGGCCCTGCACAGACAAGAGCTGCAGGAGGACACAGAGTGACTGCGGGCAGCCCCGGACCCCGCCAGGAGCCCACCAGGCCCCCTGCGCCAGCCAGGACAGAAGAACCCGCAGCCGCGCCTGAGCTGACGCTGCCCACCAGGACCGTCCCAGAACTCGCCTGCTGACCCCGAGAGGAGGCTGGGCTGAAGGACACAGAGGTCACCCTCCGGAACACACCTGGCGTCCCCCGCGCAGGCCCAGCGCGCCGAGGACTCACCCACCCCACCCCAGCCCACAGACACCAGGCAGATTCTGTCACAGGAGCCACTCCCCCCCCCCAACAGTGGCCCCCAGAGACCAGGACCCTCGTGTCCTAAGCCAGCCAGCTCAGGGTCACCACCGGCCTTGAAGCTGGCCAGCACAGGGCCTCCGCCGTCAGCAAGGCCGGGGCGTGCAGGGGCGCTGCCTCCGACCTTCCAGGGGCCCCACAGCAGTGAGGCAGGGCATGCTGCCCTGCACAGGGCCCTGCCCCCTCCCCCCAGCCTGCTCTCCTGTCCCTGGGGAGGGCCGGAAGGCCTGGCAGGACAGCAGGCGTGGGCAGGGCCCCCCGAGCCGGGCTCTGTCTCCAAGCCAGCACACCGCATGGGGGAAGAGGGGACAGCGTGCCGCACTGCGGGCCTCCCTCCCTGCCACCCCCAGCCCACACTGTTCAGAGCACCATGCCCAAGGTCGCAGGCGCACAGTGCCTCCACAGCTCCAGAAGGGGCCCGTGCACCATGAAGCTGACATGTAGGTGGTCTGGGGGCGGGCCGGGCCAGGCAGGGCGGGGCCGGCCAGGCCAGGCCAGGTGATGGCGGACTCCCTGGTGCGGGCTTCAAGACCATGTCCTCTCTAAGGGTGGGCGCAGGGAGCACCGTGCTGGGGACACGGGGTGACAGTCACAGGCCTGTCAGCCCACTTGCCCGATCGTTGGATCTCAATAAAGCTGCCTTGTGGAGCATCTGCTGGCTGCTGGGGGCCAGGCTTACCTGGTTTCCGTCCTCCACCTCATGCAAGTGGTCGGGGCACTGAATGGGACCTGTTGGGAAGCGTGCCCTGCTCTCCATCCCTCAACCCCAACCAGCCTCCTGCCAGCTGCCCCTGCCCTCCACCTCCTGAGGCCTGAAGCTAGACCGAGACCCCAGCGAACTCCTCTGCCGGGGCCGGGGCCGGGGCTTTTGGAAGTGGGCACCTGCGTCATGGAGGGCTGCAGTGGGCTCAGAGGACGCAGCGCCCGGCAGCCCCTGCAGCAGCGGGTGGCCAGCCCTGGTCACACAGCGCCACCCACAGGTCTGAGACCCACCCAGGCTGGCCCTCGAGACCAGGTCAGGTGCTGGTGTGCGGGCACCACTCTGCAGGGCCAGGGCAGACTAAGGAAGTCACCCTCCCCTGACCTGGGGAGCAGCCCCAGCGAGGGGGCCATGGCCCTGAGCCCTGCCCTCCCTGCCCTGGAGAGCCAAGGCCGTTGGCCTCCTCGGTCAGGGTGACTTTATTTCTAGAAAAGGTGAGGAGCTGCTCGGCCAGAGAGGTGGGTGGACAGGACCCGGTCAGTGGGGTCCACAGGAGCACGGAGACTCAGGCACGGGCACCGGGTCGGTGAGGGTGACGGTGCACGCGTGCCCCACAGGGCCAGGCGGCCGGGCCCGGGTGCTCTGTCCTGGAGACCTGGCCGGCAGCGGGGATGGAGGGCCGGAGCCAGGCTCCTGGCGCTGGGGTCCAGCGGGCTCAGAAGCCCTTGTCGATGCTCAGGGTGCGGCGGGTGACGTGTTCCAGCTCGCCGGACACGTAGTCTGCCATGCTGATGCGGTAGTGCGCCAGCATCTTCAGCATCAGCCGCAGGTTCAGCCACCACTGCTCCCGGGGCATGCGGTGGCTGCGCGGGGAGGGCAGGTCGGAAGTCAGGGTGGCTACGCCAGCTGGGCCCTCCGCCCCCCTCCCCCCTCCCTGGCCTCTCCACATCCCTCAGCAGCAGTGGGGCTGGGAGGCGCTGGGCCTTGTCCCATTGGAGCCCACCCACTGTCCCCCCCCACCACACTGCCTGTGTGGGCGATCTCCGTGGGGCTGGCACACCCGCCCTGAGGAGCCTCTGAGCCCCTGGGCCCCGAGACCCAGCACTGGGGACTCACTCAAAATCTGTGTCCTTCTTGAGCTCAGTGACAGGGCTGAAGGCCACCGCCTTCTTCCGAAGGCCGATCACGCAGGCCGAGTCCGGTGCGTTGGCGAACACCCGCCCTGTGGATGCAGGCAGGAGGTGGCTGGGGCCAGGCCCTCCCCGGGCTCCTCAGAAACCAGGCCGGGCCTCCCGCCACCCCACCTACCCTTGCGGTAGACGGCCCGCAGCTTCTCCGACATCCAGAGCATGGCCTTCACCCCTAGCTTGGTCCCGTAGTTCCGGTCAAAGGGTGTTGGAGCTCCACCCTGCAAACAGAGGGGAAGCAGGCCTGGTGCTGCTGGGCTCCAGGAAAGAAGTCAGCAGGCCGCAGACGGCCACAGACGGCCGCAGACAGGCCGCAGACGGCCACAGACAGCCGCAGACAGGCTCCCAAGCAAGGCTGTGGCCACACCCGCCTCCCATGCCCTTGGGAGCTGACCTCCACGTGGTCTGAGCCTGCTCCTGCAGCCTGAGGGCCTCAAATCCAGCCTAGAAGCCACGCCCAGAGGCCAGCAGTGGCTGCCCAGCTACAGTGAGGAAGCCCTGGGCCCCGGCACTCGGGGCCATGGCCCCACCATAGCCACCCGAGGGCCACCATGAGGCAGGGGCACACCGGTCTAGAAGGCAGGAAGCTGGGCAGGGCAAAGGTGCCACAGGTCGCAAGAAACTGGGCAAACTCGGACCAGGGTCAGCGCTCAGGAGCCGCCAGCCTCATCCCCTCCCTACAATGTGGCGGGCACGCGCCGTGACTGGGCCTCCCCCCGGCCCAGCTGCAGCACCTGCTGGAGGTGGCCCAGCACATTGGTCCGGCAGTCAAACACGCCCCTGCCTTCGGAGGAGTACAGGTGGTAGAGGAACTCCGTGGTGTAGTGCTCGTGGCATTTCTCGTTTCTGTGGAGGGGTGGGCAGCATCAGGGCCTGCCCCAACCCCGGTCCCTGGGGGGCCACAGGCAGGTGGAGAAGAGATGGAAGGAGGGAAGGAGGGAGGGAAGGAGGAAGGGCCCTCCCAGGACAGCCAAGGCGTGACAAGGCTCACCGCAGCACCAGGCCCCTCTGGATGTCCGTCTTCATTTTCTCCGTCATGTGCTCCACGTTGGCCTGCGGGAAGCATGGGCTGAGCAGGGGTGGCCCGAGGAAGGCAGCGACCCGCGTGACCCGCACCCAGGGGCCTGTCACACATAGGGCGCTGCTTGCTTTGAAAAGCTTGAGTGGAGCCAGGGCCACCCCCCGGTGCAGTGGGCGCTCGGCCGGCCCCGGCCCTGCCGGCCCTGCGTGCCAGCCCCGCAGACCCCCAGGGCTACGGCCGAGGGCCGGCCTCACCTTCAAGTCGTGGATGTTGAAAGGGTCCTCAAAGACATAGGCGGCGTCAGCCCCCACGGCGATGCCGGTCACCGTGGCCAGGTACCCACAGTAGCCGCCCATGGTCTCCACGATGAACACGCGGCGCTTGGTCCCAGAGGCCGACTGCTTGATACGGTCACAGCTCTGCAAAGACCAAGCGACGTCCGGGCTCAGCATGCCTGTCCGCCATGAGCCAGGGGCTCCTGCGGCACCCTGGGGCCGGAGGCTGGAGAGGGGAGGCAGGGGCTCTGCTGCCACCAGGCCCAGAGGCCACGGTGCCTTGTCACAGCCTGGCAGCCCCGCCTCCGTCTGCGCAGGCCTGGAGGCGCACTCTGCCACGGGGCCAATGGACAATGGCCAGGACGGGGGGCAGTGTGACCGGCAGGTGGCAGCAGGGCCAGCGCCGAGGGCCTCCCGGGGCCTCGGTCTCCCTGTCCGTGAAATGGGCTGATGGCCAGCCAGCCACTGCGGAAACAGGTAACGTGCCACAGGGGCTGGTAAGGGGAGGCGTGGCGGGAATGCTCAGCACCAACAGAGCCGTGTGTGAGAGGGAGTTTCAAGATGAAAGGGACAGGAAGTGGAGCTCATAGAGCGCTACCTTGAGCTAAGGCCTGGGCTGGGAAGGTGGCTCAGTGGTAGAGCGCTTGCCTTGCATGCCTGAGGCCCTGGGTGCGATTCCTCAGCACCACATAAGCAAAAAGAAAAAAGCCGGAAGTGGCACTGTGGCTCAAGTGGTAGAGCGCTAGCCTTGAGCTGAAGAGCTGAGGGACAGCGCCCAGGCCCAACGACTGGACCCCCCAAAAAAATTAATTAATTAATTAAAAAAATAAAAATAAAAAGCTAAGGCTCCACAAAGATTAAGAGGGGTGGGGGAGAGCTAGGCATGCTGGGCATGGTGATGTGCGGCTGTAATTTCAGCACTTTGGACGTGCAAGTTCCAAGCCAGCCTAGGCAATAAAGAAAAATTAGATAGACAGACAGGCAGGCAGACAGATAGATGCTGGAAGGTAATCAAGAAAGGAAGACAAGGGACACAAAGCTTTCCTGTGCTCCTGGGATTCGAGGAAATCCTATGTCACACAGAGCGAAGGGCAGAAACCTCTGCAGCCCCTGGTAGGACATCGGCCCACCAAGGAGAAACGGCTGTCCCAGAGGGAAAGATGGAGGCCGGCAGGGCAAAGATGGCCTCCACTGAAACGCCCACCGCCAGGAGCTGCAGAGACCACGGAAGCCAGAGCCACCGATCCTCAGACCAAAGACCAAAGCGGGATCCACTCCCACACCACGGGGGAGCCGTGCCCTGCCCAGCAGCCCGCACCTCCATGGCGGCGTTGACGGCCGTGTCCGAGCCCAGGCTGAAGTCGGTGCCGGGCACGTTGTTGCTGATGGTGGCCGGGATGACGCACATGACGATGCAGAGCTCCTCGTAGCGCTCTCTAGCTTCCACCAGCTGCAGCACACCCTCGTAGGCCTGGGGCAGAGGCGGGCATGGGGGGGGGAGGGGAGGGGAGGGGGAGGGGAGGAGGAGAGGGGAGGGGGGAGGAGGGCCAGACCAAGGCCGCACTGGGTCAGGGCAGCGGCACGGCTCCCCGGCCCTGCCCCCTGCTGACCAGCCTCGCCCTTTGCTTGTGGACTAGGACAGCCGGCTCCCACCCCCAGGACACCATCAAGGGGCCCTGCAGCACCCCACTCGGCTGGGTTCTCAAGAGGACCGAAGAGTCTGCGTGAGCTGCTAAGCACAGATCACCCATACCCCCTCTACTTATCGTCTGTGACAACCTGCCAGGCACCTGGGCACGGTGTACGAGCTCCTCCCAGAGCCACACACTGCCTGCTCACCCTTCCTCCAACTCCTCCCTTCCTCCTCCCTCCCGTCTCCTCCCCGCCAGCACCAGGCTTGGCTGCACCCCGTGAGGCCCTCAGAAGGCACCAAGCCCAGGCCCCAGACCCGCATCTACAGCACCCGCGATCCCACCGCGCCGGTCCAGACCCGCATCTACAGCACCCACGATCCCACCATGCCAGTCCAGGGCCCGAGCAGCACTTTGCACACCAGGGTTTTCAGCCTCACCTCGAACCCGCCGATGACAAGCAGGGCGTGGATGTTGTAGGTGCGCAGGTTCTCCACGATGGACTCTAGGTGGGCTCTAGGCAGCGTCCTGCAGGCAGAGGGGCAGCCTGAGCTCCAGCCTGCACCCACATCATCTGACCCAGGGCATCCAATCAGCTGACAGAACACCCCTCTCCACAGTGGCTGGGGCCCCACAGGAGAGGCCCCACATGGCTGGTGAGGGAGCGGCCTGGGCCTTTACCAGGCATCCTCACCAGAGGCAGAGGAGCAAACAACACCACCTCTGCTACCATGGGGCCCGGGGCACCCGATCTGCCCAACGCTGCCCTCAGGAACCCAGCACAGCTCAGAACAGGACAGTGCCCCACGTCATGCAGCTCATCCAGAGACCACCACGCCAGGCACAAAAACGGCCACCAAGCCGGGTGCTGCTGGCTCACAGCTGTGTCATCCTAGCTACTCAGAAGGCTGAGGCCTGAGGATCATAGTTCAAAGCCAGCCCGGGCAGGAAAGTCCGTGAGACTCTGTTCTCCAATAAACCACCAGAAAACTGGAAGTAGCACTGTGGCTCAAGTGGTAGAGCGCTAGCCTTGAGCTGAAGAGCTGAGGGACAGTGCCCAGACCTAGAGTTCAAGACCCACGGCAAAAAAAAAAAAAAACAGCCACCAAAGGAGACACAAAAGGCCATGGAAGGAGACACAGCACCAAGACTACCAAGCCCAGGGATCAAAATGGCCACTGAGGAGACACAGCCCCACGGTGGCGCTGAGGAGACGCAGCCCCGCGGTGGCGCTCAGGAGACGCAGCCCCGCGGTGGCGCTGAGGAGACGCAGCCCCACGGTGGCGCTCAGGAGACGCAGCCCCGCGGTGGCGCTGAGGAGATGCAGCCCCGCGGTGGCGCTCAGGAGACGCAGCCCCGCGGTGGCGCTGTGGAGACGCAGCCCCGCGGTGGCACTGTAGAGACGCAGCCCCGCGGTGGCACTGTAGAGACGCAGCCCCGCGGTGGCACTGTGGAGACGCAGCCCCGCGGTGGCGCTCAGGAGACGCAGCCCCGCGGTGGCACTGTGGAGACGCAGCCCCGCGGTGGCGCTCAGGAGACGCAGCCCCGCGGTGGCACTGTAGAGACGCAGCCCCGCGGTGGCGCTGAGGAGACGCAGCCCCACGGTGGCGCTCAGGAGACGCAGCCCCGCGGTGGCGCTGAGGAGATGCAGCCCCGCGGTGGCACTGTGGAGACGCAGCCCCGCGGTGGCGCTGAGGAGACGCAGCCCCGCGGTGGCACTGTGGAGACGCAGCCCCGCGGTGGCGCTGTGGAGACACAGCCCCACGGTGGCGCTCAGGAGACGCAGCCCCGCGGTGGCGCTCAGGAGACGCAGCCCCGCGGTGGCACTGAGGAGATGCAGCCCCGCGGTGGCGCTGTGGAGACGCAGCCCCGCGGTGGCACTGAGACGCAGCCCCGCGGTGGCACTGTGGAGACGCAGCCCCGCGGTGGCGCTGTGGAGACGCAGCCCCGCGGTGGCACTGTAGAGACGCAGCCCCGCGGTGGCACTGAGACGCAGCCCCGCGGTGGCACTGTAGAGACGCAGCCCCGCGGTGGCACTGTAGAGACGCAGCCCCGCGGTGGCACTGAGACGCAGCCCTGCGGTGGCACTGTAGAGACGCAGCCCCGCGGTGGCACTGTGGAGACGCAGCCCCGCGGTGGCACTGTAGAGACGCAGCCCCACGGTGGCGCTCAGGAGACGCAGCCCCGCGGTGGCGCTGTGGAGACGCAGCCCCGCGGTGGCGCTCAGGAGACGCAGCCCCGCGGTGGCACTCAGGAGACGCAGCCCCGCGGTGGCGCTGTGGAGACACAGCCCCGCGGTGGCGCTGTAGAGACGCAGCCCCGCGGTGGCGCTCAGGAGACGCAGCCCCGCGGTGGTGCTCAGGAGACGCAGCCCCGCGGTGGCACTGTGGAGACACAGCCCCGCGGTGGCGCTCAGGAGACGCAGCCCCGCGGTGGCGCTGAGGAGACGCAGCCCCGCGGTGGCGCTCAGGAGACGCAGCCCCGCGGTGGCGCTGTGGAGACGCAGCCCCGCGGTGGCGCTGAGGAGACGCAGCCCCGCGGTGGCACTGTGGAGACGCAGCCCCGCGGTGGCACTGTGGAGACGCAGCCCCGCGGTGGCGCTGTGGAGACGCAGCCCCGCGGTGGCACTGTGGAGACGCAGCCCCGCGGTGGCACTGTGGAGACGCAGCCCCGCGGTGGCACTGTGGAGACGCAGCCCCGCGGTGGCGCTCAGGAGACGCAGCCCCGCGGTGGTGCTCAGGAGACGCAGCCCCGCGGTGGCACTGTGGAGACGCAGCCCCGCGGTGGCGCTCAGGAGACGCAGCCCCGCGGTGGCGCTGTGGAGACGCAGCCCCGCGGTGGCGCTGAGGAGACGCAGCCCCGCGGTGGCGCTGTGGAGACGCAGCCCCGCGGTGGCACTGTGGAGACGCAGCCCCGCGGTGGCACTGTGGAGACGCAGCCCCGCGGTGGCGCTCAGGAGACGCAGCCCTGCGGTGGTGCTCAGGAGACGCAGCCCGGCATGCGCCTCAGCTCCCCCGCCCCTGCGGCGCTGCCCCGGCCTCGGCACCAGGCTGTCCTCGGCACAGGCCGGCTCTGCCGGAGGCCGCCCGGGCAGCTGCCTGTCTCCGAGGAGCGCAGTGGCTCCCACTCACCTCTTGGTCCCCAGCACGGAGCCGCCACGCCCCAGCCAGCCCGCCACGTCGTGCCAGCCCACCTCCTGCACCTGTCGGCGAGGACACAGCTTCAGGGCTGGGCCGCAGGCCTCAGTGTCCGCCTCAGCCAGGGACTGAGTCCTGTCTGAGCTCCCGGGCAGAGGGCACCCTGCTGACCATCCATCACAACGAGGCTGCGTCTGCCACAGGCCTGGCCGGACAGGGCGTCATGGACACAGCGTCTCTGCCCCTTCCCCGAGGCCACTGGCCCTCTCCAGGACGGGCCATGTTTCTGTATGTCCCTGAACTGGGCCATGTCTGTGGGTCCTCAAGGCCCCAGACCTCAAGTGTGAGCAGCCGAGGAGCAGGTTAAGAGCCAGGAAGCAAAGAAGCTCCCAGAACAGCTCCTAGGGCAGCCCAGCGCCCCGGCCACCCCCACCACCACCCAGCATCTCCCTCCCCGCCCCCTCCCCCCAGCCACCCGTCCCAGCTGAACTCACCTGACCCTTGGCTAGGCCTTCAAAGCCATCGTGCACAACGTACACCGTGTGGCCCTGGGAGATGCCGGTCCTCACTGCCGAGCGCACGGCCGCATTCATGCCGGCCGCAGGGGCGCCCACGTTCAGGATGGCCAGCGAGAAACTGGTCTGCAGGGAGCGAGAAAGGGACCAATGGGTGAGCCCCAGGGTGGACACGGAGTCCCCTCCTCCCGTTACATCACATCAGTGGCCACTCAAGTTCCTAAATCTGCAGACCGGGCCCCGTCCCCTCACCTCAAGCCCAGGAACCTAACAGACCAGTGACAGCTACACCACCAGCAGAGCTGGGCCGGGCCCTGAGAGCAGTCCCAGCCCAGCAGGAGAGAAGAGCCCCCCACGTCCCCATGGGCCCATTCCCGAGCCTGCGGGAGAGAGGGGTCCTCCACGGGACAGGGGGCCAGCCCCAAACCTGCCGCCACCCCATCGGCAGACACACAGAAGAGCAAGCAGTACACGAGCAGGGCAGGGCTGACCAGCTACCGAGTGAACGTGGCCCTCAGCCTCACCTTCTCCTTGGAGATCTTCTGATGGGCCAGCAGCTTGTAAATGTTCCAGTTGTTCTCGAAGCTCCTGGAAAGGAAGCAGGTCCCATGACTCACGGCCCTGCAGCCACAGCAGTGACTCCCAGACGCAGTAGAGCACGGAGCCTGAGCTCAGGGGAGGACCTTGGGGCTCAACGCACAAAGCCAGGAGGGACAGGGCCCTAAAGGAGCCAGACGCCATGCAGCCCAGCCTGCCCCGACACAACGCCCCACTGGACCCCTTCAGCACCTTGTGTGAGACCCCACGGAACGTAGGGTCACACAGCAAAGCCCCAGCCTCCGCCCAGCTTGTACGCAGAAGCCAGACCTCCACGTCCAGTCTGACCCGGCGTCCGCCGGATGCAGCACCTCACACGGTGAGGACCAGAGCCCAGTCCTGCCTCCCCCAGCTGGACCACCCCCGTGGCATCGAGGATAGCTCAGGCCTCTGCACAAGTGCTGTCCCCACCCCCGCCTGCCCTGTGGCACGGCCAGCCCTCAACGCGCAGGTCCCACCCTGGCCACCCGTGGCCCACGTCCACCCCACAGGGGGCCGTCCCCCCGGCCCCTCCAGGCGTCCTCCTCCCCCTGGACTGCCCAGGGAGCTCTGGCCGAGGGCCCACAGTGCCACCACGTTTAGAGCTCGCACGGGCCAACGTCAGCTGCCCAGGATGCGCCCTGCCAGCGCCCGTACCTGCCACGGAGCTGGATGGCCTCGTCAAACCTCTTGTCGTCCATGGCCTTCTGCACCTCCTTGGTCTTTGAGGAGAGACGGGGACGCACAGGTTGTCAGGAAGGCCTGGGCCGGCTCACACGCGCAGCTGTGTCCCAGCTCAGCCGGAGAGCCCACCACGCCCCTTCCAGACCCAGCTCTCCTTCCCCTGCAGGGGCACAGAGCCCACAGCACCCCAGAGCCACAGGAGCCCGGCCGGACCCTCGGGAACAGAGACCCTGGCCTGTGACGGTGTCGAGTGCGCCCTGAAGCCGGGCGAGGTGGAAATCATGGCAAACCATCTTCTAAGAAGCACGTGGGGGAGGGACACCGCAGCTCACCTTTCCCAGCGGCCCTGTCTGCAGGACCTACACCTGGTGAGCCAGGAAGAGCACCCCCCAGCATGGCCTCACGATCCCTCTGCCCCTACCTCCACTCCGCTTCCGGGGTCCCTGTTCTGACAGCGCCCCTTGCCGGCCACGCCCCCCTTGTCCCAACCCCAATGCTCCGGACAGCGCCCCAGCTCCCTGCAGCCACACCCCTCGGTGACATCGAAGTCCTGGCTCCGGCCTCTGCCCAGAGGCTTGCGGCTGGCGCCACGCCCACCACCACAACACCCGGGAGAGGGGAGAGGCGGCAGCGGGCGGGGCGGGGCGGGGCGGGGCGGGGCTCGCACTCACCACCTGCACGCACTCCATGAGGGGCAGCCGCACCGACTGGTTCCCCGAGAGGCTGACCACGCAGGCTGGCGTGTCAGGCGTGGCCTCCAGCAGTGCCATCACGGCCTCCATGCCCATCTTGCTGCTCTGCACAGGGGGAGGGCGGTGCAGCTCAGGCGGGGGCCGCCACTCCCAGCCCCCTACCCCTTGCCCCTGCCCCCCCAGGCTCCCGCTCTGCAAACCGCACAGCACCAACCCTCCACAGTGCATACACCCCGCTCTCCAGGCCCCTCACAGTAGCCGAAGCTTCCAGCACACAGCTCAACCAGCATTCAAAACAGCGCACCTGGCACCATTCACAGGCTCTGGGTCAGAGAGCCGCAGCACAGCGTCTCCTGGGAAGCCAATTCCAGGCTCCTTCCAGGACAAGAGGCCTCACTCAGAGCCTACCCGGCTTTAAACACCAAACACGGCTGGCAGCAACGGGACAACTGAAACCCTAGGGTCAGGCCGTAGCTGCAGGCCTCGACACAAGGGACAGCCAGAAAGGGCGGTGGCAGCCGCAGTCAGTCCTGTGACCCAGGTGGTGGATTCCAGCCTCCTGGACTCCCAGCATGCAGCGGGACACGGGAGGCTGCTGGGCGCTCCCCCTCCCCTGCACGACCGGCAGGTGGGGCCCCGACCGTGCTTGGTTTGGACCATCTTTCCCAGGGTGCACAGTGAACACTCCCAGAGGGGGTGGCTCATGAGGTTCCACCATCTGCAGATCATAGCTGGAGGCACGTGTTCAGGCACAGAGCATGAGTGTTCATACTTCGGGGAGGAACACAAGGCACAAGGCCTATGTACCACTGATTACACAAAGCATGTATCACAATGAACTCCAGGAAGCCGGGCACGGTGGCTCACACCTGTCATCCTAGCTACTCAGAAGGCTGAGATCTGAGGATCACGGTTCAAAGCCAGTGTGGGCAGGAAAATCCAAGAGACTCTTATCTCCAATTAACCACCAGAAAACGGGACATGGAGCTGTGGCTCTAAGTGGTAGTGGGCTAGCCTTGGGTGAAAATGCTCAGGGATAGCACTTAGGCCCTGAGTTCAAGACCCACAACCACACCAACAAAAAGCACTCCAGGAAATGGAAAGAAGAAAAAAATGCCTATAGTCTGCTGATGCCCTTGTCAACTGCTGATGTGTGGAGGGAAGGATCTGGAAGGAGGCACAAGGAAGGGCGGGTCCAAGGAGCCTCAGGTCCACATTTCTTTTCATGCTCAGTGGGTTGCTTCCTGGGTGGACATCTCACACACACACACACACACACACACACACACACACACACACACACATGCACACACACACATGCGCACACACACGCGCACACGCACATGCACACACACGCACACACACACATGCACACAAACACGCACGCACATGCACACACACACACATGCACACACACATGCGCGCACACGCACACACACGCGCACACGCACACACCAGAGTAAAGCCCACCTACCAGGATGCGGTCGAAGGCTGAGGGGGTCCCTCCGCGCTGCACATGCCCCAGCACGGTCACCCGTGTGTCGAAGCCCAGTCTCTGAACCACAAGCTGTTCAATGCGAGTCAAGCGAGGCTGTGAGCTCCAGCCCAAACCGGGCCCTGCTCCCCGCGGGCCCTGACCCTGGTGCCCACCATGCCCGGCCTCAGGTTTGCAGGATCCTCACTCAGGAGCAGCCCAGGATGCCCACCTACAGCGCCTAATTGAGTGCATGTGAGCGTGTAGGAAGGGGGTGAGCCTGTGCAGTGTGTGCAGTGTGTGTGCAGTGTGCGCGTTGCAGTGTGCCTGTGCATGCACCTGTGCATGCATCTGTGCAGCGCATTGCAGTGCGTGTGCAGTGTGCGCTGTGCACGCACCTGTGCAGTGTGCAGTGCATTGCAGTGCGTGCGCAGCGCGTGTGCAGGGCGTGTGCGCGTGTAGAGATTTCTGTGCCAGCAGGCCTCGCATGTGTGTGGCCTGCGGCCCCGGTGCTCAGAGCTGGACGTGACCTCTGCCCCCCTCGGCTCAGTGTCCACCAGGTCCCCATAGCTCTGGGGTCCAGGACAGAGGGGTGGGAACAAGCCACAGAGGTCGGGGGAGCAGGATCATGCAGCTCCCCTGCAGGGTGGAGCTCAGGGAGGAGGAGGAGCAGCGGGCTGGGCTGGAGAGGCTCCTCACAGTCTGAGCTGATAGTTTCTGTTTTGTTTGAGACGTGGTCTCATCATGTTGCTTAGGCTGTCCCTGAACTCACAATCCTCATGCCTGGGCATCCTGGGTGCTGGGTGCACACCGGTCCGCTCCATCACAGGGGTGAGGAGCAGCACTGGTGCCTGGCTCAGGCCAGGAAGAGCACAGGACCAGCCCCTGTCCTCAGAAACCAGGGAGGGCCTGCCTGTGCCTCTGCCCCCTCCCTTTCCCACTCCCCCGCTGTGCCCCTGCCCCCCCACTGTGCCCCTACCCCCCTCCCCCCTCCCCCCTTATGTGCCTCTCCCCCCCGCTGTGCCCCTCCCCCTCCCGCCTCCGCCCCTGGGCCCCTACCCCCATCCCCCCTCCTCCCCGCTGTGCCCCTCCCCCCGCTGTGCCCCTGCCCCCTCCCCCCTGCTGTGCCCCTGCCCCCCCCACTGTGCCCCTACCCCCCCTCCCCCCTCCCCCCTTATGTGCCTCTCCCCCCCCCGCTGTGCCCCCTCCTCCCCCCCCCAGGCCTGGCCCCACCCCCAGTGGCTGGCACACTCACGTCCTTCACGTAGCTGGACGAGATGGGCTTCCCGTTGCGGTCGATGGCACCCTCTGCGATGATGATGATGTTTAGCCGGGACCCCCGGCTTCGAGTCTGAGTCAGAAAAATCCAGGCTTACCCAGCAGGCCACAAGCCACTAAACATGGCCACCAGGGGCCCCCACGTGGGGGACAGGACTAGGCCTTGAACACGATCCAGCAGCCAGGGCCAGGCCCTCCTCTCTCCAGGGAGGGCCTGGGGCCGGGGCTGCAGGGCCCCCAGGGGCTCCAGACTGAGGGCCACAGGCCTCTCCCAGCACTGGGCTGGGGGATGTGGACAAGTGGAGGGAGGGCAGACCCCAGGCCCAGGCCGGCGCACCACGGCCAGCCCGAGGCTGGCTCTCACCCTTCACCAGGGGACAGGCATCCCGGACTGGACACCCACAGAACTCCCATGGTGCACCGTGCCACGTGCAAATCATCACCAACTTCTGGGTACTTGAAAGTACCTTTCCCTTCTTCCTTTTCTCCATGACCCATAAGCCTTTGTGGGACTCCTGTTGGCCACAGCCCACAGTGCTCTAAGAGCCTCAGGCCGGGAGACAGCACTGGGCATCTCAGGGGAGGCCCGCTATGTGGGAGGCCCAGGCACGTGGCATGGAGGGTCCCTGAGGTGCTGTGGGGGGAAGGCACCAGGACAGGGCCGCAGGTGAAGAAGAGCCAGACTCCCCCTCTTCCTTCTCCTTGTAGTCGACCTGGCAGTAAGCATCTTCATGGGGAAACCGAGGTGGTCCCAGGTGTGCCCCCCCAGCCACCTCCACGAAGCCCCACACAGGGGCTGCCCTGCCAGTCACTGCAGCCAGGGGGGGCTGCTGCACCCCGGGCTCCACCTCCCCTGCCCTGGCCTTACTTGGAAAGGTTCCAGAGCCAGGCCCTGACCCTCTGGGGAATAGCAGGGCTGGGAGGGGAGCCCACAGTGGAAGGGGGTGAAGGGCATTCACAGAGATGCGGGACGGAGCCCGGGGCTGCCCAGGGCCCCAGGCTGGGCTGATGCTCCTGTATCTCCCTTGGAACAGACTTCCTGGAGTCCAGAAACCAAAGGGCCAGAGGCAGAGCTGCCAGGCCGGCCTGAGCCGCCAGGGACAGTGCATGGGCTCTGGGCCTCCCCCGCCCCCCAGCCCAGCCTGACCCAGGGCCGGCCTGTCTGATAAGGAGTCCTGGGGGTCTGCAGGGCAGTGTGAACCTGCTCATAGCAGAGCGCCCCCTGGCTGCAGTGAGTGGCAGGGCAGCCCCTGTGTGGAGCAGGCACTGCACGGCCCTCCGGCCTCACCCAGGCCAGGCCTGGACTCCCAGACGGCTTCTACTCTCCCCTGCACCCTCAACTGTCCACACGGGCCGCGGCACTGGCCACCTGTCTCCCTGGCTTAGGGTCACCATCCTCAGAGGCACAGAGCCGGAGGACAGCTGCAGTGTCGGTCTCAGCCAGCAACGCCCTGCCTCTGGGTCTGGCTCACGGCCATCCCTCAGTGGCTTAGGCTCAGTGGCCGCTGCCCTAAGAAGTCAGTTGACCCTGCCTCTCCCCTGACCACATGGAACAGAGCCGGGGATGGCCGAGCGTCCCTGTGCACACCCCCGTCACCCCTCCCCAGGGGCTGGCAGTGGCCAAGGACGAATACATCATGAACCCCCAGAGTCTACCGGGTCTCGGGGGCCTGTGGCCGCTCACCTCCCCCAGCCTCTCACACATGAAGTTCTCCCAGCCGTCCTCGGGGGGCGCCTCCGGAATGAACAGCCAGTCGGCCCCGGAGGCCAGGGCGGACACCAGCGCCAGGTACCTGGGGGAGGGAGGGGGAGGGGCGGCCTGCTCTGGAATCACCTCCTGCCCCGCCTCCACCCAGGCGCACGCACACCCACGGCGGCAGTGACCCCCTGCCACGGGCCAGGCCGCAGGGAGGCCAGGCTCCGCCCCACTGTCCCCACAGCCACCGGACGTCCCCCCTGCCCCCCACCCCACCCCGCTGGCCGGGACAACTGCTCCTCACCCACAGTGTCGCCCCATCACCTCCAGCACGAAGGTCCGCTGGTGGCTGTGGAGAGAAGGGAAGGCGGCTCAGTGCCGGGGTGGCTGGCCACGCGGCCACGGCAGGCGGGCTCACAGGGCCATCTCTGGGAGGGAAGGTGCCCCAGGCCCCTATCACCCCTCAGCAGTGTGAAACAATCTGGTGAAGACTGGCCGGCCCTGTCTGGAAGCCAAAGCCCCTCCAGTACCGCACCCCCCCACACCCCACTGGGAACCCCACCGTGCGGCTCCCGAGGTCCCGGGCCTGGAGCAGAGGGGCGGGGCCACACGCTCGCATCCCCGCCGCCGCTCTCCGCGGCTGGCCGAGCGTCTGTGTCCACGAGGCCGACCACCCCCACAAGAGGCAACGGGGACCCTGGGCTGGCGGGGCCGGCCCGGCCACGGGGGGCTGCGCACCTCTGGGCAGTGGTGGTGATGGCATCGATGACCTCCATGATGCGGTGCAGGGCCGAGTCGGTGCCGATCGTCATGTCCGTGCCACAGAAGTCGTTGTCGATGGAGCCGACGAGTCCCGCAATGTTCAGGTGGGAGTAGGTCTGGGCTGTGGTCTCTGTGATCTTCCCTGGGCCGGGGGTTGGCAGGGGCCTGGCTGAGACCCCCGATCGGGCACATCCACTGCCCCTCCCACTCTGCCGGGCCCCGCCCATGCTCAGCCCCTCCCACTCCACCGGGCCTGCCCATCTCAGCCCCTCCCACTCCACCAGGCCCGCCCATGCTCAGCCCCTCCCACTCCACCGGCCCCGCCCATGCTCAGCCCCTCCCACTCCACCGGGCCTGCCCATCTCAGCCCCTCCCACTCCACCAGGCCCGCCCATGCTCAGCCCCTCCCACTCCACCAGGCCCGCCCATGCTCAGCCCCTCCCACTCCACCAGGCCCGCCCATGCTCAGCCCCTCCCACTCCACCAGGCCCGCCCATGCTCAGCCCCTCCCATTCTGCCAGGCCCCGCCCATGCTCAGCCCCTCCCACTCCGCTGGGCCCACCCCTCCCACTCCACTGGCCCCGCCCATGCTCAGCCCCTCCCACTCCGCCGGGCCCGCCCATGCTCAGCCCCTCCCACTCCGCCGGGCCCGCCCATGCTCAGCCCCTCCCACTCCACCGGCCCCGCCCATGCTCAGCCCCTCCCACTCCACCAGGCCCGCCCATGCTCAGCCCCTCCCACTCCACCGGCCCCGCCCATGCTCAGCCCCTCCCACTCCGCCGGGCCTGCCCATCTCAGCCCCTCCCACTCCACCAGGCCCGCCCATGCTCAGCCCCTCCCACTCCGCTGGGCCCACCCCTCCCACTCTGCCGGGCCCCGCCCATGCTCAGCCCCTCCCACTCCACCGGGCCTGCCCATCTCAGCCCCTCCCACTCCACCAGGCCCGCCCATGCTCAGCCCCTCCCACTCCACCGGCCCCGCCCATGCTCAGCCCCTCCCACTCCACCGGGCCTGCCCATCTCAGCCCCTCCCACTCCACCAGGCCCGCCCATGCTCAGCCCCTCCCACTCCACCAGGCCCGCCCATGCTCAGCCCCTCCCACTCCACCAGGCCCGCCCATGCTCAGCCCCTCCCACTCCACCAGGCCCGCCCATGCTCAGCCCCTCCCATTCTGCCAGGCCCCGCCCATGCTCAGCCCCTCCCACTCCGCTGGGCCCACCCCTCCCACTCCACTGGCCCCGCCCATGCTCAGCCCCTCCCACTCCGCCGGGCCCGCCCATGCTCAGCCCCTCCCACTCCACCGGCCCCGCCCATGCTCAGCCCCTCCCACTCCGCCGGGCCCGCCCATGCTCAGCCCCTCCCACTCCACTGGGGCGCCCATGCTCAGCCCCTCCCACTCTGCTGGGCCCCGCCCATGCTCAGCCCCTCCCACTCCGCTGGGCCCGCCCATGCTCAGCCCCTCCCACTCCGCCGGGCCCGCCTATGCTCAGCCCCTCCCACTCCACCGGCCCCGCCCATGCTCAGCCCCTCCCACTCCGCTGGGCCCGCCCATGCTCAGCCCCTCCCACTCCGCAGACACAGGGGAGTCCTGCACCCTCCACGAGGCTCCGGGGTCTCCTCTGAGCCGTGTTCCTGGGACTTGTGCCTAATGTTATCCTCACTACATCTCTGCAAACTTGGGCCAGGTCTGTGGCCACATCTAGAGCTCTCAGAAGTCAGTAGCAAACAAGACTGCGGCACGGCGCGGGTAGGGAGGTGCCTGCGGCAGGCACGGAGCACTGACCCCTCCACGCCCAGGCTGCCTTGGGCTCCAACCCCTGACTTGACCTAGCAGCTGCAACCATCTAGGGTCACCCTGGCATGGGTCCCTCTCCACGGGCCAGAAGCAAGCGAGCCGACCCCCCCCCCCCAGGTGTCCTGCCTGCCTCCTCCGGCGCGGGCCCGGGCGCTGGCGCACACCCACCCTCCTTCACCAGCTCCTCCAGCAGGCTGCCCCACTCGCTGCGGAAGACGTTGGCGCCCGTGAGGCTGCCATCCCCGCCGATGACGCACAGGTTGGTGATGCCATGCTGCAGAAGGTTGTAGGCCGCCGCCCGGCGCCCCTCCCTGGTGGTGAAGGCCTTGCAGCGGGCACTGCCAATGATGGTGCCTCCCTGCACGAGACCAGAGCCCTCAGACAGGATGGGGGTGCCACCTGTCCCGCCAGCCAGGGCCCTCAGATGGAATAACAGGTAACAGAGGTCCCCCTCCAAGGGACCCCAAAGACCCGGTGCTGCACAGTAGCAGCACCGGCAGGTGACCGGCAGACTCCACAGAATTAGAGGGCCAGGCCAGGGCAATTCCAAAACTGTGCAGGATCCTCCCCTCTCTGAGTACAAGGCCTCAAGCCTGAGCAGTTCCACAAGGAATGGAGAAAGCTAAGAACTAAGAAGCACTGGGTGCACGTACGCACGCACACACACACACACACGCACATACGCACATGCACACACATGCATGCACACGCATGCACACACACAGCATGTGCACACGTGTGCACACGCGCACACCCACGCACACATGCACATGCACGCACACAGCGTGTGCACATGCGCGCACACCCACGCACACATGTACGCACACATCCACGCACACACACACTGCACTGGCATCCACAAGGACAGGCCTCAGCAGTGCCTCCTGCTAGTGTTCCGCTAGCATCCCATGCCCCCTGAGAGTCAGCTTCAGGCTCCAGTGTGCAGTGCTCCGGGGCCAGGGTGCCCTGCCACGCACCAGGCAGAGCCAAACAAAGCAGCCAGCAAGGGCCTGAACCCCTCCTGATTCCTGAGACCTCCTGCCCCTCAATCGCTCCCGCCTGACACCCAACTATGCTATGGCAGTGGTGACACCATCAGTCTGGAGCTGAGGCCCTGAGAGAGTGTGTGCGTGCACATGTGTATATGTGTGCATGTGCATGTGCATGCGTGCGTGTCTCCATGTAGGTCTCTGGCTATGAATGCATGTCTGGAGCTGCAGTTCTGTGAGGGGAGTGTATGTGTATGTGTGTGCACACGTGTGCACACGTGTGCATGTCTCTGCACAGGTCTCTGACTGTGAACACATGTCTGGAGCTACAGCCCTGTGGAGTGTATGTGGGCATGTCTGTGTGTGTGTGTGTGTATGTGTGCACACGCATGTCTCTGTGCAGGGCTCAGAGCGCTTGTCTATGTGCCCACTCATGCCCACACACTCCCGGGGTAGGAGGGAACCACCCGCCACAACCCTCACCAGCTGGATGATGTTGGAGACGCTGAGCCAGTTGGCTGGCTTGATATTCTCACCTCCTTCCACGAGGCCCTCATAGCCCTGGAACCAAATGGACAGCGTGAGACCGAGCCCCTCAGCAGCCAGCAGCACCGCCATCTGGGAAAGCAGCGGTCAGACAGCAGCCCGAACCTCAGCTAGAGAGCGCAGGCCGGAGTCCCACCCCCAGCCCTGCCACCCCAGGCTCTGGGCTGACGCAGCCAGGACGCCCCACATGGGCCTCCCAACACCTTCACACGCATATGAGTCTGCTCTCCGTCAAGAGCTCAGGGTGCAGGTGGCCCACCTGGTCGGTGTCCCCAGCTGAGCTCCCAGGCTGCACCTGGGATCCCCCAGGGTCACCCTCCCACCCATCCCACCCACCTCCATCCCTGAGGGCTCGGTCAGATTTACCCACTGTGACCGTGATACGCTGCCAGGGGCCTCTGGCTCCATCTACCCACCCCTAGCCATAGGCTGCGCCAGCCACAGCGGCTGTACCCAGTCCACTGTCCATCCCACCTGTGATCCACTTCTTACCCCGCACATGATCTCCTTATCTCATACCAGCATGCACGTGCGCGCGCGCGCACACACACACGCGTGCACACACGTGCACACACATGTGCACACAGAGCCAGGGGCCCCACGGGAGGCTTGCAGACGGGGAAGACCCCTGGTAAGGCAAGAACGCACATCTCACCAAGCCCCGGGTGGACAGTCCAGGCGGGGTGGACCTGTGAGTCCCCTGGACACCTGGGCGGCCGTGCCCCCGGAAAAGTGGTGGGGATCCAGGGTTCTCTGCCCCCAGTGCCGGCATGCAGGTCTTTCACCCTGGGCTAAGGATCCCACACATAGCATCTGTTTGTGGGCGTTCTTTATGGAAGTGAGACCAGACACAGTGTTTCAGGTGTGCGTCCACAGGCCCCCCAGAACACCGATGTCCCCAGTCCCGAGCCGAGGTGGGTGTGCTAGCACTCCACCCAGGCCTTGGGCGCCCTGGCTCGGCTGGTCCTCCTCCCTGACCCCCTCCTCAGCCAGGGGGAGGTGGGGAGGGAGGGGTCAGGCCAGTGGGCAGATGCCCACCCTGCCCACACCCTCCCTCTTTCTGTGCCACAGCCCAGTAGAGCAGAGGGCAGGGAGTGGATCTACCATAACCCGGGCGGGGCAAAGAGAGAGGAGGGAGGAGCGGGGCTGGCTACATGGTACATAAAATGTATGCGTAAACTGCAAGCACAAAAGGACAACCACCAGAAAAGCCACACAACAACGCAAGGGACTTAGGGGTGGAGAGAGGAGCGATAAAGGAAGGAAAAGATGAGAAGGAGGAGAGGAGGGGGCGCAAATCCACCACAGGGACTGCAGCCAGGCCCAGGGCCCTCCCCCACTGGTGACAGACTGGGGCAGGTCGGGTGGCTGTGGGGCCGCGGTGGGCGGCCCGGCTGGAGGAGGCCCCGGAGGGGAAACCGTGCGCTGCCAGAGGGCAGGTCCAGGCTGGAGTACCGGGAGAAGGCAAGGCCAGGCCCCGGCCGGGCTTCTGGTGCCCTGCCCGCGCTGACCTAGGTCTCGGGGAGGAACCAGCAATGGTGGCTGTGCACAGGGCCAGGGGCAGCTCACCCGCACGCGGCCTCTGACCCCATCTGGGCGGGCCCTGAGCACACCTGAGGAACACCCACCTGCAGGGCCTTCTGCGGATGCCGTGGCCCTGGATTCCACTTCCTGTCTCCCCTCAACTATGAGGCCACCCCTACTCTGGGCCCCCGTCCCCCGACTTCAGATATCCAAAGCCGAGTAGAGCACACCCTGCACGGGCAGGGCACACTCACACAGGCACCCTGGGGTCACCGTGGGGTCACCACACCTCGGCCCACCTCAGCCCACCACACGCCCGCAGTACACAGCCCCAGGTGCACAGTCCACCATGTGCCAGCCCACTGCTCACACGGCTCCACCACAACGCAGGCCACCACACGCACGCGGCCCGCCCCGCCCCGCCCCGCCCCGGCCTTACCTCATAGATGAGGAAGACTTTGGCTCCCACGTAAATGCCCATGCGCGTCACAGCCCTGACCGCGGCGTTCATACCTGGGAGGATCGGGGCAAAGCTCAGTCTAAAGGACGGTGGCATCCCCAGCCCCTGCCCGTCCCCACAGTCCGCACGGGCCTGGGCACCGCCCCAGCCCCTGGAAATGAAGTGGCCCCGAGTTATGCTAGGAGGAAAACATCAAAACACCCACTCGGCTTGAGAACCGAGCTGGCCGCTCCGGAGGCCTCCACGCCGGCCTCTCTGTGCTGACTGTGGTGCCAAGATGGATGCTGGGCTCATCCATGGAGCGCCCCCCCCACAGGCCCACACAGCTGAGAACTGACACCGGACGGCTAGCATGGGCAGTGGAGGAAAGGGCTCACGGTCTGGTCGCCAGGCTGGGAGGAACGGGCACTCCAGGGCAGCGCAGGCACGGAGGGAGGCCCCGCCTGACGGGCTGCCGAGCCGCAGAGTGCCGATTCCCACCTTGTAGCCCAAACACGCCACAGGCTCCTCCCTCCCCGTCCCCATCCCGGCTCCCAGGACGTGGCTCAGGTCACCGGCACTCTGCAGAGGAACCGCCCGGACAGCTGGAAGTGGACGGAGCATGAAGTGCCCCCTATCCCACCCCAGCCCCGCACAGAGGAGACACAGCCACCCGACCCCCGAGGGTGCTGGGGCCGGTCCCCCAGGCCATCACGGTGGGACAGCCGGCCCTGACTCCCTCACCAGCCAGCACAGAGCACTCATCACGTGCCCCGACAGTGAGAAGGCCTGGCCTACAGGAAGCCAAGTCTCCAGAGTCCCGGCATTCACGACCTGCCAGGGCTCTTATCTGTGGGGTGTCCTGTGAACCCTGAAGATCCACATCGTGACCTGGAGAGGATTCGTGGCCTGACTCAGGTTCCATGAGTCCCACAGGTCTCTGCGTGCCTGGGCTCAGGGGAGCGAGCAGTTCTGACGCAAGCAGTCTAGCGGGCACCGCCTCCCAACAGTCTGCTCATGGAATGAAGCTCCCGCGTGGCCCGAGGCTCCCACACAGCCGGCGGGCATCTGCCACTGTCCCTGGATACCAGGCCGCACGGGGACAGGAAAGGGCCTTCTGGAGCCTGGCAGGTGCGGGCAGAGCAGGCTCCTCCGGGCATGTCAAGCGGACCCAACCCAGCTAACGTGCGGTGCCAGGGGAACCCCACACAGCAGGCCGCGCGGGGCTCATGCACACGACTTCTGCAAGCAAGCCTTGTTGCTACAGAAACGGCCAACGTCTCCTGAACCCAAGCAGATGGAAACAGGGTGGCTAAGGCTGAAGGCAAGCAGTGGAGCTCAGCAGGCACCCCCACCAGAAGGCTGGCACACTGGAGACCAGACGGCTGGTGGGGAGCTACCTGACTGCGTACCTGCCAGCAGGGCAGCAGGAGAGCACTGGGCCTGGAGCGGTCCAGCAGCCTCCCCGCCTCGCTCCCTCCTGGAAAGAGCGTCCAGCTCGGCAGGAGAGGCCAGCACAGAGTGACCAGAGGCCAGAGGCCAGGACCCACTGTCCAGCCCATGCCGCTCCGGTCACCCAGCTCCAGACGCTCACGCTGCTGGGTGAACCAGCCCCCAAGTCAGAGCCAGCTCACCAGCCAGGTAAGCTGTGTGCTCAGCACGCCACAGAACAGAGTGACCCCGGCGTGATTCCTGCTGGACCAGCACCCTGGCCAGAGACAGCCACCTGAGGGAGCAGGACCTGCAAGTCTCAAGAAAGCTGCCTCTTCAACAGGCCTTTGAAATCGCTCTTTCATCTGCTTTCCTTCCTGGCAGCAAGCCAGCCCCAGTCAGAAGGGCAGGCGGGAGACCAGCCAGTGCCCGTCAGCTGACCAGCAGCCCACCCCCATCAGAACAACTTAAATCTGAGGTTGAGGCATTCGCTCAGTGACAATCACCTCCAAGAAAGTAAGATGCTATTTCTAGATGGGGGAGGTGAGCGGAGCGTTAGCGGTCAGCTAATGAGTGAGCGCAAAGCCTGTGTGCCCAAATCCTGGACACAGCGCAGGGGGGTGGGGGGGGAGCCGGCACTGGGTGCTGATCCGTGATCCGCACAAACAGGAAATCAGTGTCCCACTGTCACTTAGGGGCAGGGGAGGCTGGAAGAAACTCAGAGAACCCAAGTGCCCATACCACAGGGAGGCTGAGGGCAGGGACAGGGGGTGGCCAGGCTGATTTTACTTCTAGTTCCTCTACATAAGTTAATCTGATAAACAGATTATCTGTGAGCCACAACTGCTCACAGGGACTCCTGTTCAACAGGAAGGGAGGGGTCCAGGGCTGTAGAGGATAGGACTTCCCGACTGGCTGGAAGGGAAGGGGAAACTGAGGCTGGAGGAAGTGCTTGGGTCAGGCCAAAGTGCTAGCCAACACCAGCCAGACGGGCACTTGGGGCCTGGCAGGGGTGGCTGGGTTTTCTCGCATTCTACCGCTGGCACACCTCTGGCCTTTCTCTGGCTGCCTCCACTGGCAGCACCGAGGGCACACGGAGGGCACATGGAGCCTGGACACTACCTGGGGCCAGGCCACAGGCCCGTCACCAACCCCATGGTCAGCTCTCACTTATGCAACACAAGGCCAGACTCTAACTGCTACCCTCACCAAAGGATGCTGGCCCTACCTCTGCCACCTGTGCCAGGGGACCAGGGAAGTCCAGACCCTCCTCCACCGCCTCACCAAAAAAGTACCAACACCAGGTCTACCGATGAGTGGAGGGCCATGAACTCAGGGAGAGCAGCCGTGGCAGCAGGTGCTTCGATGGGCACACTGGTGACCACTCCAACAGGCACCGGGACCAGGTGGGCAGGGCAGGGACTTTGACCACCCTGGAAGCACCCAAACCTGGAAGGTCTCCATCTCCAGACCTTCCTCCAAAACGGCTTGTTGGTCTCCCTGGGTGGCCCTGGCCCTTCCTTCCTGAGGATCATTGAACCCCCCCACCCACACTCATGCTGTAGAGAAGCCTGCAGGCCCCACCCTTCAGCAGACAAGGCCTCTGTCCAGAGATTTGGAGCTTGGGCCGGCCAGGCGCCGCCAGGCTGCAGACCCGGGCTCCTCTGGTGGTCTGCCACCGCGGGCCACGTGCCTCCCGGTCCCGCCGCCTGGGCGGGGGTGTGCAGGTGTGTGCTGACCACCAGCCCGGGTCCCTTACAAGCCAGGACTCTGCGTGGGCCTCCTGGACCGTCCTGGATCGCACCCGGGGGCCCCGGGCTGCAGGACCGGGCCGCCCCCCACCCCGGGCCAGCCGGGCCAGGAGGAAGCGGCAGACCGCGGACGGGACCTGGCCCCAGCTGTGAGTCCTCGCGGAACCGGGAGGAGCGGAGGAGGTCGGACGGGGGAAGCGGGGTGCGCGGTGCGGAGGGAGACGCGGGGGGCCCGGGCCCGCCGTCCGCGCGGGCTCCCGGGCACAGGGGCGCACACGTGTCGCCCGGAAGGGGCCCGGCAGGGGCGCGCGCGGTCTGCGCCCCGCCCGCCCGCCGCCCGGACACGCCCCCGAGGCCCGTGGCCGGCCGCACGTACGCGGCGACCTGGGGCACGCCGGGGCGGAGTCCGGGGACCGGGACCCGGAGCGCGGCCCGGGCGGGGCCCGGATCGGCCTCGACCCCCGCCCCCCGCGCGCCCGGGCGAGGGGCAGCGGACGCCCGCCCGGGCCGCGAGCGCGCAGCCCCCGCCCGCCCGCCCGCCCCGAGGCCGCGCGCGCCCACCTTGCGCGTCGCCGCCGCTGGTCAGCACGGCGATGGCCTTGCCGGCCCCGGACGCCCGCAGCTTCTCCAGGTCCACGGTGGCCATGGCGGCAGCCGAGACGCAGGCCCAGTGCTCCTCCCGGCCCGCTCTGCGCGCCCGGCCGCGGCCGCCCGGGCCCCGCCCCGGAGCGCCCGGCCCGGCCCGGCCCGCCTCCGCCGGCCCCGCCTGCGGCCCGGCCCACCTCCGCCGGCCCCGCCTGCGGCCCGCCCCGGTGCACGGACTCCCCGGGGCCGGGCCGCGGGCGTGGCTGAGGCCTGGCAGTGGGCGTGGCTGAGGCCGGGGCAAAGCTGAGGTCTGGGCTGGAAGTGGGCGTGGCTGAGGCCGGGGCAAAGCTGAGGTCTGGGCTGGAAGTGGGCGTGGCTGAGGCCGGGGTGGGGCCTGAGCCTGGGCTGGGCAGTGGGTGAGGTTGAGGCCGGGGGCGTGTCCTCAGCCTGGCAGTGGGCGTGGCTGAGGCCGGGGTGGGGCCTGAGCCTGGGCTGTCAGTGGGTGGGGCTGAGGCCGGGGCGGGGCTGCGGCCTGGGCTGTCAGTGGGTGGGGCTGAGGCCGGGGCGGGGCTGCGGCCTGGGCTGTCAGTGGGTGGGGCTGAGGCCGGGGCGGGGCTGCGGCCTGGGCTGTCAGTGGGTGGGGCTGAGGTCGGGGCGGGGCTGAGGTCTGAGCCGGCAGCGGGCGGGGCCTCGAGTGCCGGCCGGGCCTCCGGGCCGTGGGAAGCGCGAGCCCCGCCCTAAAGACTGCGGTCTTTTTTTATTTTTGGGTCCGGTCGTGGGGCCTGAACTCTGGGCCTGGGCGCTGTCCCTCAGCTCTTCAGCTCAAGGCTAGCGCTCTACCACTTGAGCCACAGCGCCACTTCCGGCTTTTTCTGCTTATGTGGTGCTGAGGAATGGAACCCAGGGCCTCCTGCATGCGAGGCAAGCGCTCTACCACTGAGCCACCTTCCCAGCCCAAGCCTGCGGTCTTAACTAGTCCGCGGTTCGGATCAGCGTGGGCCTTCCGCGGGGCGGTGTCCCGGTGAACCGAGCCCCAGGCCTCGCGGTGTAGCTGGAGCGGCGGGCCGAACCTGCCGTGGACCGGGGCGCGGAGCTGGGCCCGGACGCCTGGCCCCGGTGGGGCTGGAGTTGTGCGGCGCCGCGGTGCGGTGCGGTGCGGGTGCGGTGCGGTGCGGTGCGGTGCGGTGCGGTGCGGTGCGGTGCGGGTGCGCACGCCGGGAGCGGGAAGCCGGCCGCAGGGGCGCGCGGTGCGCTGGGCAGGTGGAAGGTGTCCAGGGGAAGAATGGATCCACACCCTGTGCGCCACGGGGACGGGAAGGAAAGGAAATTGCGCTGCTAACGTCGGAGAGGGCAAGTCCTGCCTGAAGCCACTCGTGTAGTGGGGAAACTGAGTCAGGGGAAGGGCTCCGAGGCCGCCTCCTGGGCACGGTAGAGGCCTGGCCCGGCCGGGATACACCCCGCAGTGGTTTAGCCCCGGAGCTCTGCTCCAGGGCTGTGTTCTTCTGTTTACGGGTAATTGTTTGCTGAGGTTTGCTGAGGTTTGGTCTCCACCCAACATGTGACCTTGGTCTTTAAAACCTCGGCTCCTGCTCCGCTGAAGGCTGCGGATCACTGCTCACCTTTGTCTGCTCTCCACTAGTGCTGCAATAAAGATCCAGAATTTGACCTCTCAGACTGTGGCTGCTCTGTTTTTCTCGTGGCTGGTTTTATATCTGACATAAGGTGTACTTTACTGCACAGCTGTGCGAGGTGATCCCACGGGAATCTCTCAGGGTGAAGAGCTGGGGGCAGCGCCTAAGGAGACAGTCAGTGTGGGAGGTGGAAGGATTCAGAGGCAGAGGATGGACGTGGCTGTTCATTCGAAACCTGCCCTGAAAATAGTTAAGATGAAAATTTACATTATGTGCAGAGGTATATATGTACTGGTACTGGGGCTTGAACTCAGGGCCTCATGCTCACTCAAGGCTGGCACCCTACCACTTTGAGCCACAACTCCACTTCTGGGTTTTTGCTGGTTAATTGGCGCTGAGTCTCACAGACTTTCCTGTGCAGGCTGGCTTTGAACTATGGTCCTCAGATCTCAGCCCCCTGAGTTAGCTAGGATGACAGACGTGAGCCACCAGTACCCAGCTCACAATATTCTGAAGTGAATTGTTTTTTTTTTAGTTGGGGGTGGGGCGGGGGTTAGTTGTAAAAGCTGAGGGACCAACCCAAAAGCCGGTCACCAAGGCTGAGCCTGGGAACAGAGGAGATCTCAGACTCCTTTGCTATAAAAGACAATTGGCACAGTGTGTGTGTGTCTGTTTGTCTGTCTGTCTGTCTGTCTGTGTTCTGTGTTGCTGAATTGGGTAAAACTGCAGTGGGAAATACAGAGGAATGAAGTCTTGGCCTGGGGTTGGCCTGGCTGGCAGGCTGTACTCCTGGGGAGCTGAGGATTGAAGTGTTTGCAGCTGTATTTCTTTTCTTTTCTTTTCTTTTTTTGGTTGGTCATGGGGCTTGAACTCTGGGCCTGGGCACTGTCCCTCAGCTCTTCAGGTCAAGGATAGCATCCTACCACTTGAGCCACAGCACCACTTCCAGCCTTTTCTGCTTTGTGGTGCTGAGGAATGGAACCAGGGCCTCATACATGCGAGGCAAGCGCTCTGCCACTGAGCCACCTTCCCAGCCCCTGCACCTGTTATGTCTAAACCACCAGCAACCCTTCTGGGGCATTCAGGGCCAGGCCTGCCTGGGCCTGGACACCACCTACCACCCATCCCATAGGGACCTGTGGGACAGGGGTGTGGCTGGGCTGTGGGGGGGAGCACTCAGGAGGTGGAGGCTCAGGAGTCTGGGCGTTTGTGGTCAGGGCGTAGGACTGGTCTGTGTCTTTCTCTTCTGCACATGAAGATGATCATTGAACAGCGGAGCAAGAAGAGGACAGAGGAATTTTGAGGATGAATGTCAGGACCAGAGTCAGATGTGGATATGAGTCTAGAACATGCACAGACATTGTGTCCTCAGGTAAAATGTGGGATGGGATGGGCACCAGAGGCTCACGCCTGTAATCCGAGCTAATCAGGAGGCTGAGATCTGGGGATCGCGGTTCAACACTAGCCCAGGCAGACTTTTATATCCAATAAACCAATCAGAAAACTGGAAGTGGTGCTGTGGCTCTAGTGGTAGAGTGCTCACCTTGAGCTGAAGAGCTGAGGGACAGCACCCAGGCCCAGAGTTCAAACCCCACAACGGGCCAAAAAAAAACAGTGGGACGGAGGCAGGGAAGCTTCAGCGGTCGGGACCCTGAGCTCACTGCCGGCGGGCCGTGCCTAGCACCCTAGGGCTCTCTGTTATTTATCCAGGGATCTGCCACTGCCATGCATTTCCTGGGAGGAGGCACCTGTGGGGTCCCCGCACCCCCTCCCCCTCCTGAGAGCCGCCACACCGCACGGCTGGAGCTCCTGGAGCTCCGGACACCGTGGTCGGCAAAGCCTCTCCTGGGCGCTCTGTTCCAGCCTTGCAGCTGGAGCCGTCTCCCTCACCCTGACCCTGACACCCAAAAGTGTTTTCTTTCTGGACATTGCACATGTTTCAGTAAAGCAGCTTTTGTGGGGGCCTCTCCTCACTCCTCGCATGCCCGCATTGGGTTCCCGTGTGCGGTTTTGCCAGCCTAGCTGGCCGGTGGTGCTTCTGTCCAGAACGGGGAACTCCGCTTCCCCGTGATCTCTTCCTCCTGGCCTGTCCTGACCCGCCTGGAACATCTTGACCCAGTGTTCGCCCCGGGCCTCCGCTGCTTTCCTCCGCTTTCCTAATCCTCCGCTGCCTGCCCTGCTTAGAGGCTGCGAGGAAACATTCCATGTCGGGCCTCACGGCTTCCATTTCAAGAGCTGTTGCTGTATTCTCCGAATGCTCCCCTTTGGAGGATGGAGGGAGACAGGGTGTCACTCTGTGGCCCAGACTGGCCTTAAACTCAAGATCCCCCAGCCTCGGCCCCGAGGGCAGCCACACTGCACTTCCTGGTCTGTTTCTTAGCATCCTATTCTTTTCTCCTGTATATTGGTCTGTTTCACTTGGAGGATATGGCTGGTTTGAATACATACATTTTTTAATTATTTTTTTTTTTATTTTTTGTCAGTCCTGGGGCTTGAATTCAGGGCCCGGGCGCTGTCCTTGAGCTTCTTTTGCTCAAGGCCAGCTCTCTACCACCTCCCAGCCTTTGCTGTGTAAGTGGCACTGAGGAATCCAACCCAGGGCTTCATGCATGCTAGGCACGCACTCTACCACTGAGCCACCTTCCCAGCCCTGATATTTTTTTAATGTTCTTTTGTTTTTAGACCCCATTCCCAAACTCCTGAAGTCCCGTATTTACGGTCCTGCCGCTCACTGCCACATGCCAAACAGAGACATGGTTAAGCGGCTTCGGTGCCTCTTCGGCAGGCTTCCAGAGCACCGGCCTTGGCTTCAGGTTAGAGAGAACGGGGCAGGGGGTGAGCAAGGCAGGCAGCCACAGTCCCAGGGCTCAGGGGAGGCCTGGCTGAGCCTCAGCTCCAAGGACCCTGGAAGCTGGAGGAGTGGTCTGCAGCATTCAGCCTTTTTTTTTTTGGGGGGGGGGGGGAGTTCCAGTTGACCACAACTCCCAGTGGACTCAGGAGGCCTGACAGGGAGTCGGCCGCTCTGGGCTGTTTCCCAACTGGAATCCGGTTTCCTAAAGGCAGGGTGGGGTTTGGTTTATCCAAGAATCCTAATCTTCCTGGGGCCCTAGGAGATAGCAAACCGTCCCAGAGAGGGAAGGGCTTGGATCAAAGGTCAGCCTCGGCCACGCCCGGGGCCCAGCCTGAGCAGTGTTAAGTTGCCTCTTGGATTTCTTCCCTTCTGAGTGTCTTTCATCCTTGCTGTTTTTGTCTGTCTCCTCCGTGATTAGAAGGCCGGCCCTTTGAACGTGCTGGGACTGCACACTTGAGCTTCCTGGGTCCTTCCTCAGGGAACGCCCAGCTCTCTGTCCTAGTGGGCTGCTTGGATTCTGAAAAGATCAGACCTTCTACATCCTGAGGACAGCGTGGTGACCGAGGGGTGGGGAGGGGAACGGAGGGGGACGGAGGGAGGGTGGGGGAGGGGCCGTCAGCTTCCCAGCTCTCCTGCCACCCA